ACCTTTGGTAATTAACCGGGCGGATAGCTCCAGTCCGTGACCGGGTATGTCGATATACCCCTTCGAACTCGTCGCAAATTTCTCGAACGGTCGGGGAATGGCTTCTTTCTGATTCATCGGAACTGGGACACGGGGCTTTTCCTCTACTGGTCATGTTGATGGTAACCTGAGGGTATTCAGCTTCAGAAACTTTCTTCTTTTGACGTCGTCGTTTGGTAGGTCTTGCGACGTCAGTCAATCTGTCGAATACAGATCTGCGAGGTTCAGGAATACAACAGTGACATTCGGAAAGGACTGTTGAAATAAGCCGTTCGCAATGACATGGATGGGCTGCTCGTTGCGTTGGCTTTTCTCTGGAAAGCAACTCTCGCAAATCTGAGACCCGAGGACAGTTCTTCATCGGGGATGAAACTCCCTGTTCTTGAGTGGGTGAAATTGGTTCTTGTTGAACCTGACGGACCCTATTGCATTCGGGCGTCGAAGCGTGAGGGTCGCGTTTTGATTTATAAACACTAGGCCTTGGCCTGCGTTTAGTTGACGGAACAGACCCCTCAGGGTCTTGTTTTGTTTGGACGCACTCATGAGGCGTCTGTTTTCCCTTAGCAGGGCTGTGTTTTGATTGGGCAACGCACCACTGAGGGTCGCGTTTAAGTTGAATCACCCGAGGTTCATAATTTGGTTCATTACCTCGAAGGGTGCGTTCTGAAGTATGAACGCACTGCTTGGGCAGAGTTTCGGAAACACAGTCCTTGCGTTGGGCCAGGGATTGATTTTCACGGAGATGTGCTCGTCTGATGGATCTTCTCCGTCTTCGAGCGGTCTTCGGCTTGCAGAGCAAGCTTGAGGCTTTGGCCAAAGGAGAGGGCTTTCTTTGGCGTCTCAACAGTAGTTAAGACCTCTTTAGAGCTCTTGCAAGCACCTCGCCTAGCTTTAGGGCTAAGCGATCCGGAAGAGAGGGCCTCCTCGTATTTGGCTTGGTCAAACTCCACGACCAAGGTTTCTACAGAAGACCTCTTTAAAGCTCTTAGAGGCATCTCGCCTAGCTTTAGGGCTAAGCGATCCAGAGGAGAGGGCCTCCTCGTACTTGGCTTGGTCAAACTCCACAACAAGCGTATCGACCGTGGTTCTAGTGAGGTGAACGTCGTGATCATGTTATTTATCACTATCTATGCATGTCCATCTTTTGTTTGTTGGAAATTTTGTAACAAGAAAATAAGAAAAGAATTGTACTTGATTTTATTCTCTCTAACTGTTTAGAAAAAGAATGATTACAATTCTCTCAACTCTCGATTACAATTTGAATTCCTGATTACAAAAGAGAAGAGAATGATCTGGATTCTCTCCTTTGTTTAATTCTGGGTTCTTCTTGGTAACGATGAGATGCCTCCCTCGATTGTTCGCGTCGAGTTTGCTTCTCGTTGACGATCTGACGTCTTGTGTCACTAGAACAACGGTCTTGTCTTGTTGATAACTCTTGACGAGTTTTATGATTCAGAATAAGCAACAAACTCTAACGACAGTATTAGAGTTGTTCGAACCGAAAATGATTCGGTTAATAGGCCAAGTATTCGAAGATCTGGAATTCTCAATGGATGTTGATTCCCCAGACTGTGTAAGGAATCAATCCTCGGAGTCAATCCTCCTTTTTTGATTCTGGAAGATCTGATCGAAAAGATCTTCTCTAAAATCTAACCTCGCCTGAAAAATCCCCTCAACAAAAATCCGCCCCTGATCTGATTATCTAAAATCCGATCCTTAACTCTGTTGAGTTTGTTGCTATTTATAGGGGGATTAGGGGTGTAACTGCCCCCATAATCCGCGCCTAAATGGGGGTTTAGTTACCCCATTAGTCGGGTGTAACAACCCACTAAAGCCACTCCTCAAATCGTGGGTGAAGAGCGGTTTTCGAAACTGCCTAGATCGTGTTTGAACAGGTCAGCACTTTGACTTGCGTTCTGACGATGATTCTGTGCTTGAACGCGGCCTTTGGAGGTGCGTTTTACAGCGATATTGATCTGCGTTCGACGTCGGTTAGAACTGCATCCGAGCAACAATTGGAGCTGCGTCGGGCAGCGATGATTAGCTGCGTTGGGCAGCGATGATTAGCTGCGTTGGGCAGCGATGATGAGCTGCGTTGGGCAGCGATGATTAGCTACGTTGGGCAGCGATGATGAGCTGCGTTGGGCAGCGATGATGAGAGCTTGCTTTGCCATTTGGATGTCAGTTTGAAGTCTCCTCTCCCATTGGCATGAACCTGAATATAGTTAACAAGCACCGTAAAATAGTTAACATGAACCTGAATATAGTTAACAAACACCTTAAAATAGTTAACATGAACCTTAATATAGTTAACAAGCACTCTCAAATAGTTAACATGAACCTGAATATAGTTAACAAGCACCTTAAAATAGTTAACATGAACCTGAATATAGTTAACAAGCACCTTAAAATAGTTAACATGAACCTGAATATAGTTAACAAGCACCTTAAAATAGTTAACATGAACCTTAATATAGTTAACAAGCACCCTCAAATAGTTAACATGGACCTGAATATAGTTAACAAGCACCCTCAAATAGTTAACATGAACCTGAATATAGTTAACAAGCACCCTCAAGTAGTTAACATGAACCTGAATATAGTTAACAAGCACCGTAAAATAGTTAACATGAACCTGAATATAGTTAACAAGCATCTTAAAATAGTTAACATGAACCTAAATATAGTTAACAAGCACATTAAAATAGTTAACATGGACCTGAATATAGTTAACAAGCACCGTAAAATAGTTAACATGAACCTGAATAGAGTTAACAAGCACCTTAAAATAGTTAACATGAACCATGAATCTGAATATAGTTAACAAGCACTTTAAAATAGTTAACATGAACCTGAATATAGTTAACAAGCACCTTAAAATAGTTAACATGAACCTGAATATAGTTAACAAGCATCTTAAAATAGTTAACATGAACCTGAATATAGTTAACAAGCACCTTAAAATAGTTAACATGAACCTGAATTATAGTTAACAAGCACCTTAAATTAGTTAACATGAACCTGAATATAGTTAACAAGCACCCTCAAATAGTTAACATGAACCTGAATTAGTTAACAAGCATCCTCAAATAGTTAACATGAACCTGAATATAGTTAACAAGCATCCTCAAATAGTTAACATGAACCTGAATATAGTTAAAAAGCACCTTAAAATAGTTAACATGAACATGAATATAGTTAACAAGCACCCTCAAATAGCTAACATGAACCTGAATATAGTTAACAAGAACCATCAAATAGTTAACATGAACCTGAATATAATTAACAAGCACCTTAAAATAGTTAACATGAATCTGAATATAGTTTACAAGAACCCTCAAATAGTTAACATGAACTTGAATATAGTTAACAAGCGCCGTAAAATAGTTGACATTTTAAGAGCCTTCTCGCCTTCTTCTTTTCTTGCATATCCAGCAATTAGAGCATTCCATGAGATTTCATTCTTCGAATCCAACCGATCAAACACAAAACAAGGCTCATCCATCTTCCCAAAACGTGCATACATATCCAACAATGAACTCCCAACAAACACATTCAAGTTGCAAGAATATTTAACACTTAAAGCATGAAATTGTTCCCCCAATTCCAACACTTGCAGCAGAACCAGTGGCCTTCAAAAGGCTCGCAAAAGTAAACTCGTTAGGTTTCAATCCAAGTACGAGCATTTTAGGAAGCAACTCCAATGCCTCTTTAGGATGATCATTCTGTGAGTAACCAGTTATAAGCGCAGCCGTGTTGACCACATCTTTAACAAGCATTTCATCAAACGCTTTGTGGGCATTGATCAAGCACCCACATTTGCAGTACATATTGATGACTGAAATTTGGAAGAAAGGGTTGCCTTGAATCTAGAACTCATGACCTGTAGTTGCTCAGTCTGTGCTTGCCTCCCACGATCCTAAAACTCATGACCTTCTTCTTGTCGTCGAAGATTTCGAGGCGCTTGGTGCTGCTGACGGCGGGAATGCTGGAGATGAGGCGGACCTCGCGGAAGCAGTCGGCGACGAGGGAGGAGGAGTCGCCGTCGAGGAGGCGGAAGGACTTGACGAAGCGCTTGTAGGACTGGGGGGAGTCGAAGCGGCGGAGGAAGGAGACAGAGGAGGGAGGTAGGAGATGGGGAAGGAAGAGGAGGAAGAAGTGTGATTTTGGGGGGAAGATGACAGTGATTTTGGGAGGGGTAAAATTGGGTTTTTTAGGAAACCATGAGCTGGAGTCATGATGGAGGGGTTTGGGCAAAAAAATTTCAAAATTTTGGGGCTGCAGCACATAACCAAAAGTATGAGGGGCTGGGTCACATGACTTTTTGGATTTTGGGGCCTTGAAGCAATTTTTCCATGATTTATTATAAAAAAACGTATTTTGTGGATTATCTAATTTTCTTCCAACTACGAATTCTTCTTCTAGCAAAGTGTTACAGTTTTATATTCTAACATGCTCCCATATAACCTCACGTAGCGTTGCCCCTTTTTTTAGCAAATCTGGTTTAGATTCGTGGCCGGTGGGAATTGAACTTAGATTGCTCTAATATCATCTTAAAGTCCCTACCAAAACTCCAAAGTTATGGTGAAGATTATAATTCTATATTCTAACATCCCCCTCATGAACTCACGTAGAGATTGTCTTTTTTTTTGAAAGTTTTTATGGTTGGTTGGATTTGAATCCGGGGGATTACAATATCACTATGTTAGAGCCATTTTTAACATTACATCGCAGATGCCAATATCTTTACATCAAAACTCTAAAGGTATAGCGATAGTTGAGCGTTATAGTTTTTAATTTTAATAAGACCTTGTTGTTCGAATTGATGGTAATTGACTCCAATTAAGTAGTAATTGGAGAGGATCTAAATCCGATAAAAAATATGTCAATTTTAAGAACTTTAGGTTACATAAGCGCTATGAGTGAAGACGGATTGTTTTAAGGCCACGTTGTACTCTACTCCTACGACTATAGGTGCAGGCGATCCGAAAAAGCACTCCAAGCTCGGGTCGAAAGATCTCAAGACCGAGCCCTAATCCAAAAACCCTAGATCTCCCCCTAAAACCCTAATTTCCCCCACGGGGAAAAAAAAAATCCCCCCAACAAACAATCTCCATGGCCGAGACCAAAGACGAGCAAGATGCCCAAACCCTAGATCCCCACTCCCAAAAGCGCAAGCCCGACCTCGACTGCGTTGAACAGGGCGAGCCCAAGAAGCCGAAGAATCCCGAAATCGATCTCGAAGAGGGCGACGACGACGAGGATCAGAGGCAAAAGGCGAGGGTTTTGGAGAAGGGGAAGGGGAAGATGGTAATTGAAGAGGAGGGGGGTTCGGATTCCGACTCCGACTCGGATTCCGACCAGGATGGCGTCGAGGATGGCGACGGCGAGGACAGCGATTTCTGCGACGATCCGCTGGCTGAGGTTGATCTGGAGAACATTCTGCCTTCGAGGACGAGGCGAAGGGGCCCGCAGGAGCCCGGGGCGTATCTCGTGAATGATCTTGACGGGGATGATGATGAGGATGACGAGGACGAGGTAGTTGGCGGTGATGAGGATGATGAGGACAGCGATTAGAGGGGACCGAGAGGGCAAAAGAGGTAATTTTGGTTAAAAGATTTAGCGGTAATTTGTATTGAATTAGGGGGTGTAATTGGTGCTTCTGGATGAAATGTAGATGAATGCTGAGTGAGTAGGCTTGAATGCATCTGTGCATCTTCTTGTTTTCAATTGCCTAGATTTTGTGTGAAGTATTGGCGGAAGTGTTGAATGCTACTTTTGATGATAGACTTGGTTGTTATTTGGAATTAGCTTTCGGATTTCGGATTTATTCCTCCTTCGAACTAGGGTAAATTGCAGGCAAACCCCTCATTTTTACCTACTTGTCACCACTCGACTCATTTATTAGTACTTATTACCTCTAAATTATTGAGGAAAAGGTGGTTATATGTTATACGAGTTGCCGGGCGAGCACATTTGATCACGAATTATCAAAGGTGGGTTGAGAAGAGGATGACAGAAACACAAGAATAATTCAGTGGTGACTAAGAAAAATACCTTCTCTAGATTATGATATGAAAAGATTACAATCTCTCTCTCATCTCACTAGAATCGAGAACAAACTCTCAATTCTTTTTAAACCCTAATCTCTCTTGATTAGAATCTCTCTTTTATTATATCTGATTTTTTTAGAAACCCTAAAACAATCCCTTATATAGGTGTAACAACGTGGACACTGTTATAAATAGCGGTAAATAGCCCCGTAATAGCGGCGCTAATAGCGTTAGCGGTCCCTTTCCGCGACGCTATCGCCCGCTACGCTATCACGCAATAGCGGTCACATATTACAGAATATGTCTGTTCGCAAAAGTGGCTAATAGTGTGTCATAACGGTAAATAGTGAGCGATTGCATTCGAAATTTGCTTTTTGACTGCTATTTAAAAGTGGTTTGGCGTTTATTTTTTTAAAATTAAACTCAACCATTGACCATTGCATTTCACCATCTCCTGTGATTTTTAGCATACTCCTGCCACCTCTCATAGCCTATGGCACCTACCTTGATATATACTTCCCCTCACATTCTTCACCGTGAGCTCCTCTTAGGACAGTCCTGTCACCGTTAAGCTCTTCTTCTCGAAGACGACGATTTTTTAACTCCTCTAGTCATCTTCGGTATTACGTGATGGTTACATGTCTATTTCATGTTTAGGATTTCTTTAAATCATTCAATATGTACTTTTAGATTTCTTAGATTTTTTTAAAATTTTTTATAGTATTTATACATATCTAAATTAAACTGATATTTAACTTTGCGTTTTTTACCGTTATTTTGCCGCAATAGCCCGCAATAGCCTTAGCGATGCCTCACCGCTACGCGACGCTATCCGTTATCGATAACCTTGAACGTGGATGACAAAGTAGTAAATAACCAAACCAAAACCCCATAGGAATTCGTACAAACAGAAATCCAAACGAATTAGGAATCCTTCGATGAGTCGACTCATGTGCACATATGAGTCGCCTCATGACACATGGGTTGACTCATACAGTGATGAGTCGACTGGTCAGAGACTTTTGACAAAATGCCTGAGTTTTATAAGTCGACTTATGACAGACATGAGTCGACTCAGCCTGATAAGTCGACTCATGATTGTTATGAGTCGACTCACGGGTTGAAAACTGGATACTTCGATTTTTTCGATTCGTCGTCTTGTTCCACGCTTCAACCTGCGTTCCACTATGTTGTTTTACCCTTCTATTCTCAAGCTACCATGATAATCATCTATCCTCAACCTCCCATGAGGATTACTAAGTTTCAAAGAGAAGATACACCCGTATCATGGGTCCCCCTTTAGGAACTTGAAGTCCCATTCAAGTTAGAACTTCAGCTGAGGAAACTCGTGAGCTCCTCCATCCTTTCTGTACCACCTGGCATTGCTAGGAACCTGATATCGACGTACAACTAGAAACGACTCATTCGTTCCTCATCTCATCGTAGTCGTCTTCCGCTCCAACATGCAATTCTTTTTCGATGGCTCGTCATGAAGTCTAATGCACAGCGAGACAAACTTCTTGCTTGTATTCACTAGCCTCTTCGCTCGCGTCATCGTCGTCAAGTTTGCCTCATTCGGAAGAGACGTCGAAAGAAATATGAATTTTTTACCATCCTTGGTGAATGCGTACTTCTGAACCCACCTTTCGTAGATCGCGTATCTATCCCACAAGTACGGATTGCCCAGTATAACCTGACAAACATCCAATGGAACGACGTCGTACGTGACCTCGTCAATATACGACTCGTGGAGCACAAATCTGACAGTGTATTGATCAACTACACTTAGTCCCGTCTCCTTCTGAATCCATCCCAATGGATAGAATTTCGGATGCTTGATTGTCTTCAGACCCAGTTTCTGAACCCATGCCTCGGATATCAAATTCTTTTTGCTGCCTGGATTAACAATGGCATCAACTAAACTGGTCTTCACTTGTAACTTTAGCACAAAGGGCTGCTCTCGGGGGGTCTTCCTCTTTCGTGGTCTGTTTTTCTGTCATAAGATTGAGACTACTGTTGGGTTCTGTCATCCCAGGAACTTTCTTCGGACCCTGTGCTATCATGTATGTCTTTTTTTTCTCTTTCTTCTTCAACCCCTTTGGCTTCGGATGAAGATACTTCTCCCAGCATCGATCAGCGATATGTCCTATCTTCTCGCAGTGACTACAAATCAGTTCTGCTCTCCCTAGATCACCCTTTTTCTTCTCCTTATGTTTGGAACCATTAGACTCACTTCCCGTCTGTTTTGCATCTCCTTTTACCTCGTTGCTCTTCTTTTGCTTGCCCTCGATGGCAATAGCTTTCACGCTTGCCTCTGCAATAGACTCGATCGTGAATAGCTTCATTTCTTTCCGGATGTATTCGTTCAGACTCGTCATGTACTTCATGAAGATGGAGTATTCGTCCGTCGCGACGTTTAGAACCATCACCTGCTGCTGGAACTCCGTCGTGTACTCTTGAACGGTCTGATTGAATCTTTGACGCAAGCCGTACCACTTATACCAACGTTTCTCAAGGAACCTCACTGGATAGAACTGCTTTCTCAGTAGCTCCTTAAACTTATTTCACGTCACCGTCTTTTTCTCCTGCTTGCTGTAGGATTTTCACCACGTCAACGAATGTGCTGAAAGCTTCAAAGTCGCAAACACAATCTTCTCATTGGATGAATATCCATAGAGAGTGAAATATATCTCCATATGCTCGATCCAATCACCGAGCTTCTCCACATTGACACTCCCATCATAAACAGGAATCTCCACCTTGAAATTAATTTTTAAATTCTAATAGTAATTTTTACCCTCTTGATGCGGAACAGTTTTGACAATCTCGGCCTCCTCATCAGAACCAGTTTTCTCGCCCTCTCCATCGGACTCTTTGAGCTTCTTCTTACCCTTCGAAGAAGATTCCACCTTTTTGTCCTTTCCATTGATGAGACCTACGAGGTGATTGAGTATAGAACCGATCGTCTCGATCCGCTTCTCCATTGCATCAAGTCTTGTTGAATTATCTCCTTCAGTCATCTTCTTCTTCCTTAATTTCTGGATCCCTTCTAATGAAATAAGGATCTCGCCTAACTTCTTGTATTGCGATCGAGTCAGGACCATATACAAGATGCCTTTTTCACAGGATCTAATCGTTCTGATACCAACTTGATACGAGTCGTCGGACGAGCATATTTGATCGCGTAATTATCAAAGGTGAGTTGAGAAGAGGATGACAGAAACACAGGAATAATTCAGTGATGACGAAGGAAAATACCATCTCTAGATTATGATATGAAAAGATTACAATCCCTCTCACAATCTCACTAGAATCAAAAACGAACTCGTAATTCTCTCTAAACCCTAATCTCTCTTGATTAGAATCTCTCTTTTATTACATCTGATTTTTTTAGAAACCCTAAAATAATCCCTTATATAGGTGTAACAACGTGGATGACAAAGTGGTAAATAACCAAGCCAAAACCCCACAGGAATTCGTGCAAACAGAAACCCAAACGAATCAGGAATCCTTCGATGAGTCGACTCATGTGCACATATGAGTCAACTCATGACACATGGGTTGACTCATACAGTGACGAGTTGACTGGTCAGGGACTTTTGACAAAACGACTGAGTTTCATGAGTCGACTTATGACAGGCATGAGTCGACTCAACCTGATGAGTCGACTCATGACTGTTATGAGTCGACTCACGGTCTGAAAACTGAGTCGATTCACGGGCTGAAAACTGGATGCTTCAATTCTTCAATTCGTCGTCTTGTTCCACGCTTCAACCTGCGTTCCACTGTGTTGTTTTACATCTTTATTCTCAAGTTACCATGAGAATCATCTATCCTCAAGCTCCCATGAGGATCACTAAGTTCCGAAGAGAAGATACACCCGTATCAATATGCAATTAATTATTTGAAAAGTGTCAATGCAAGGGTGATAAATGGTGATAGAAGAGTTGAGGGTGATAAGTGTCACTGAAGGTATAGTATAGATAAGATGAGTTGTCTACAATTACCCTGCTAATTATGCTGTATTGACTATCAGTTTTGGGGTGATAAGGGTTCTTAATGAGATATTGATAAATGCTAAGTAGATTTGAACGGATCGGGGTCATCTTCTTGTTCTCTGCCTTGATATTGTGTGAAATGTTGTTCGAAGTATTAGGACTAATGACGAGCTTAGTGTTATTTGAAGAGTAGTGCTAAATGGTAGTACAGGTTTTAAATATCGGATATTGGGGAAATATCAGATGGCCAAAATTCATATCGGATTGCGGATATCGGGAAAATATCGGGGATATGTGGTAAATATCGGAATGCCATAATGAATGTTTACATAATAGTATAATGCATTAAAATGTAATCTCAACATATGTAATAAAATTTAAGCATACAAAATATGAATAATATATGTTTAGGATCATTAATCAACCTTCTAAAACAAACAAAAGTGCAAAACAACGTTGCAACATTCGATCTGCTTTTTTTAGAGCAAAATGTCATTTGATATAATGGGGAAATATTGATATCTTGCCCAAAAATTCCAAACACGGCATATTATTTTGTAACAAATTATATAAAAAGATATATTGGTCCACATATCGGCTAATATATCGGCCATATCGGGGATTTATCACTCAAAATAGCCAAAAAGCGGTGAAGGATATTTAAAGACCATATCGGTTGCGGCAAGCCCTGTAAAAGGATATATCGGGGGATATATCGGGTCATGTTGGGGATATTTAAAATAATGTTACTGATATTGGCAATGAAATGGTTTTGAGCAACTTTGATCAATGTAGGACGAGACCTTGAAGATTGTAACAAAATTTGAACTTGATTGTTTTTGTATATTTATCTGTCTTTCTAATTGAGTTGGTGGCGATGAGGATGATGAGGACAATAATTACAGGGGATCGACAGGTAAATGATATATTTGATATTTTGATTAAATATTTAGAGTTAACTTGTGTCGAGGTAGGGGTTAGAGCCCTTGGATGTTGAGTAGACTTGAATGCATCATCGCATCATGAGCATCTTGTTCTCTTATCTTGGTGTTGTATGAAAATTTGCTTGAAGTTTATATTGGCAGATTAGATCTCAATCTTGATAAATTTAGCTGTTACTTGAGATTGTAGTGCAAGATGTACCACACTTTTGATGCTGCTTTCATACTAATATTTGAATGACAATGTGAATTTTGGGTAAATTTTGGACAATGTAGAATTTGTGCTCAATGATCATATCGAAATTTGATTTTGAGTGTTCTCATTATTTATTTGTCTTTCCAATTAGGACGGCAATGATGAGAATGACGTGGACAGCGACTAAACAGGACTGTGAGGCAAACTAGGTAATTTTGATTAAAGATTTAGGGTCAATTTGTATCGCTGTAGTGTCAATTAGGCGTTTTGGATGAAATGTGCATGAATGCTGAGTACACTTAAATGCATCATTGCATCCTGATCATCTTCTCGTTTTCCAGTGTCTAGTTGTTGTGTGAAATATTGCTGGAAGTGTTGGTTGTGTGAAATATTGCTGGAAGTGTTGAATGCTATATAAGAATTCTAGTATGATAGGTTTAATTGCTATGTTAGCATGTTGAGTACATTTTGGACAATGTAGGATGAGCTATTGATGATTGTCGTAAAACCTGAGTGTTCTCTTAGACTTATTCATCTTTCTAATCAAGTTTGTATTTACTGCAACATGACATAACTGTAGAATCATAAACTGATACTCAATAGACCAATTCCTTTGTGAGAGATTGATGGAGTTAAAAGCATCAAATAACCTGCACTTTCTTATCATTCAAACTGACAATTAGCATATCTTATTTTCCACATAAAGTGAAAGGAGAGTACAAATCCTCTCAGAACGCCCTACATGCGAGCAGAGTGTTCTCAATCGTTTTTTTTTTCCTGAGCAGGGTGTTCCCAACCCGGCTTTTTTTTTTTGGCGGGGTTGGGTTTTTTTATGGGTTGGGGGAGGGGGTGCTTTGGAAAATTTACTGCCCCCTTTTATGGTTGAGAACACCAGCTCACATGTGGTGTTCTAAGGAATTGATATTCGTAAAAGGATGAGCTTTGCAGCATGGATTTGGTGTTGTACAGCAAAATTGTTCAAAATTTTGTCACAACATTCAATTCTTTGCTGCTGAGTTCTGCTTGCATTGTTGACTCATGTTTTTCAATAGACCTTTGGGCTTTGATGTGAAAAGCGCATTCCGGATGTTCATTCTAGACTAATTTCCAAAGTAGGTAATGGGGCATCGAGGATGTTTGTTTTGATTTTGTTTAGTGTCCATTAGAACGTTTCATTATGTTACATCTAAAAAGTCTTTACATAAACACACGTTTGATACGACAAACCTAAAGTTGAGTAGCCAATATAGTAAAAGAAAAAGACATACATTTCCTACAGCTTATACTCATGAAGATGTTTCCCATTTTGCATTCTGTTTTAGCTGGAGGACTTTAGGAGTGCACTACTGATGATGACAAACCAGACTAATCAAAACCCCGCCACGACTCTCTCTGTTATAGCTAGAGGAATTTAGGAGTGCACTACTGATGATAACAAGCCAGACTAATCAAAATCCTGCCATGACTCTCATATTCAATTGTAGATCTTCTGTTGTAACCTTTGCTAGAAACAAAAGTTCAAATCTCTTATTTCAAGATTGAAAGCTTTAAAGTTCACTTGAAATTCAATCAAAGAATATATTCTCCTCTTAAGCTGAACAATGACTTACAGACCTCTTGGTTTTACTGGACCTCTTGGTTTTACTGTAAATTATTTTCCCAGGTAGCCCTTTCGAGGGAATCATGGTTATCTTTTAGTTCATGTGAAAGATATTTTTCCTCGTCTGTCCCCACTATCGCTCTTATCTCTTATCAAGGAAACAAGGAAGTGTTTAGATAAATTTACCAGGAGCTTATACCTCTCTTTTGTGAATTGTATTTGGCTCTTGGTTGTTTGCCTGTGGATGGTGCTTGCTTTTTTTGCTTGATGTGTGCCTGGTGATTAGTGGAGGTAAGGGGCTATTCGTGATTTTGTATCTCTCTCACCAATATAGAACTGTAGTAGTGTGTAAAAATGTCTGCAACGGCGATCTTTTTCTTTCGAAAGGAGAACGCCTCCCTGTGGGTTAGTTAAACTTGTGTCCGAGTAGTGGATGAATTTAGCATTTGGGCTATAGTTTGGTAAGCTTTTCTTAGTTTACCTGTATTTGAGACTTCAATGTGGGTGATACTGTTACTAAATTTCAACATTGTATTTTGGCCCTCGTTGCGCGGTAGGCTTCCGAAGCTTTTGCTGTACCTGTAAGATTTCAGGGATTGGGATGATTGTAGAAACTAGTGCATCTATTGACAGCTTGGAACATTTTTTCTTTCTTCAATTTGGTATGTTGATGTTTTCAGCAGGTTTCTATGAAGTAATGCTACATACGCTGCATCCCAAGGAGGCTGAGTTTATTGCACCTCTGCTCTCTGCTTTTTTACCGTCTCCTTTTTGTTTCCGTGCGTGTGAACCTGATGAGCATATATCTCAGAAAGCATGAGGCCTGCTAGAAGCCTTAAAGCCTTAAAGTAACGATAAAACATTGCAGGGTTCAAGGAAAAAAAAAAAGGGCTGGTGAACTTTTGTGAGTTGGAAATAAGTTTTTTGTTTCTTTTGGATCTTTAGATAAAAATGAAATTTGAAATTCGAATAGTACTAGAAATGCGCTTCTGACGCTGTGCGATACCAATACAAATTTGTGAGAGTATAGGTTTTAAATTGGATTTGGATTCTAGAATATTTCACAGTCGGTATTTAATTTTTAATCGTTGTGTGTTGCACAACGAAATCATAATCCTCCTTGTCATCACAACAGATTTGAGCGAACGCTACTATATTCAAATATCAATGGACGCTATTTGAGTGAACGCTACTATATTCAAATATCAATGGACGCTATTTGAGTGAATAGACTACAAGATTTGCAAGAGCAAAGAGCAGCCCACATTCAAATATCAATGGACGCTTGTTTTAATACAGATTCTAGAGAAATGTGGTTCCTACAGGTGTCCATTCGGGTTGGCCAGGCTCGAAAATATGGGTCTGGGCCGGACAAAATGGGTGGCTCATACCCGAACCTAGGGTGCCCGGTCCGGGCCAAACCGGGCCGGGCTCCATGCCGGCCCGGATTTTTTTGCTTTTGGTTTTTTATTTTTTTTTAATTTTTTTTTAAAAATAGATTAATATTATTATATTTATCTAAGTATGTATTAGTATATATTTACATACTATTATATAGCTATATATTATAGATATACATATATTATATGTAAATATATTGTATATACTTGTAAGTTATAACTTGTGTGAGAGAGAGAGAGAGAGAGAATCACATAAATATATATTACTTATTTATAAATACATATTATATAGTTATATAAATATTTGTTACATACTTACATTATGCTTATTTAAATACAGTTATACGCTTTACTTATATGATATAATTTTATATATACTAGATGCAATATACTTATATATACTTATATAACTATAATTCTATAATATACACATATAAGTATACTTATAACTGCATTATATATATTTATATCTTAGTATTTATATCATGCGGGGGGAGAGAGAGAGAGAGAGAGAGAGAGAGAGAGAGAGAGAGAGTGTGTGTGTGTGTGTATATATATATATACAACTGTAATTCTATAATATACACATATAAATATACTTATAACTACATTCTATATATTTATATATTTATATCTTAGTATCTATACCATGGTAAGTGCGTGTGTGTAGAAGTATATAATAGAATATACTTGTATACTTACAAGTATGTATATATATAGAGAGAGAAATATGGAGAACCTTGGTACTAAATTTCTCCATTGAACTTGGTAGTGATGTGGTCAGATCTGACCCCTACATCACGCCTCGAAGATAGAACCTCAATCTCTATTCACCTACTCCAAAAAAGATGCTCCATCTTCAAGGCGTGATGTAGGGGGCAGATTTGGCCACCTCACTACCAAGTTCAATGAAAGAACTTGGTACCAAGGTTCTCCATATTTCTCATATATATTTCCGGGCTTGGCTCGGGTGGCGGGGTCCGGGCCGGACACTGGGCTATGGCCTTGCCTTAGGCCCGGATGGACACTCTAGTGATTCCACATTCAACTCTGAATGGACAGTTATTGTAAAACAGATTTTAGAGAAATATGGTTTATTCCAACCCCCCCCCCACACAACACACACACACACCCACACCCACACACCCAAGAGCTCAGAGATATAAATTCATACTTTACTATGGTTCTTACAAGTTGATCGCCTTTTTTTATTGACCAAAAATCAAACTAATATTTTTTTTTCATTCTAAAACATGTTTTAAATGTGCGTCACTGGTATTTAAATTTGGAAATTTGGATTGCTCCGATGTGAAATCTTAAAGCCCATTCAATACATCTACATTCCTAAATTGCAACGAGGATTGAGAATTACGATTTCTACTCCAACATTATTGGATGATAATATCTTATTGTTTATAGTGTACTACTAATTAATGACATATACCAAAGTAGTTGGCTTTTGTATTGATTTGAGTAATTTTTTTTTCATAAGTTTTGTTTCTCTACTTTTATAGGCATCCGAGCGTGAGGAGAATGTTGAAGAGCCTATTGGTGTTGAAAATAGCGAAGGTATTCTTGTTGCTAATCCATGTATTGGAATGAAGTTCTCTACTCATGAGGAAGGTTATAATTTCTACAATGCATATACCAAACTTAAGGCATTTGGTATTCGCAAGGGTCATACATCTTGGTCGAGAAAGAAAGATGCAATCATATTTAGAACGTTTGTATGTGACAAAGAAGGCTTTAAATTTTTAAAAGATAAGAGAGAAGATGGTCGAAATGTAATTCAAAAGTCCGATACAAGATGTGGATGCAACGCAAGGATGATTATTGGAGTTGATAGAAGCACTGGAAAATGGGTGGTTCGAATTTTTAACATTAATCATAATGGTCATCCATTAACCACTCCAAATCGGGTAAAGAAGCACTACTCACATTAGACGTCTTATCGATCTCAATCGATAAAAAGATTGATAGATACTCTTGACAATCAATGCTTAATTTAAGTCATGATCCGCGCCTCCAACGTCAAGGGACTCAAGTTTGTTTTCATCTTCATCCATTGTTGTATCATGTGAAAGAATTTTTGGAATGTCCATACAAGCTATCAAATTGTCACATATAACAAGTTAAAATCTTAAAAAAAACCGTCATCAAGTTGATCTTTCAATTTCACTAAACAATTTCATTACCCAAGCTCAAAAACTAAAATCAACCCAATGAGTAGCTCAGATTGTACCAAATTTAAGATATAAGTTCGACTCTCAAATAAAATTCTGATTATTTAGTTCAAACCAAATTTAAAGTTCATATCCAAGTTAACAATAAACCTATCCAAAAATCTAAACTCAAATATAATCCCCACTATTATACATTTCTTCAAAGGATCATATTCATAATTCATATGCCAAAATCAACAAGAATTACAAGATAAAAATTCCCTAACTATAACTGAGGGCTTTGTGGAGACCTGAGGCTTTTGTTGCGGCGTCGAGGGGTCGAGGAAAGTGCGAGGCAATGTGGTTGACGGACCGCTCGATGCGAAGTGGGAAGTCGAATGAGCGGTAGCGAGGGCGGGCGAAGATTGAACTCGACGGAGCGGTGGCGAAGAGGGAACTCAAGGCGACTACTCGACGGTGGCAAGCTCAAGGGCGGAGGAGAGGACGATGGGGGACGGAGTTAGATCCCGTGGCGAAGTGGGGTGAGCTCAACGGCGGCGAGCTAGAGGGCTGAGCGCTGCCGCCGCTAGAATCCTACGCCCGAGCTCGGCGGCTAGTGGCCGAGACAAGTCTGACGGAGGAGAGGAGGAGATCTAAGGCAGCTAAGCTCGAGATGCCGACTTAGGTGAACGCCGGTGGTGTGTTCGGGCGGCGGCGACTTCTGGCGGAGGAGAGGAGGAGGGAGGGGCTCGCCAGATCTGGTATGTGAGAGAGAAAAGGGATAGGTTTTTATTAGGAGAGGTGTTTTGAAATGGACGGCTCTGATTAAGTTGGTTTTAATGAACGGACGCTCAGATGCGCGTCCTTAGATGGAGCATAATGAGGCACTTAGGTCACACACACACACACACACACACCACACACACACACAACACACCACTACACACCCACACACACACACACACATATATATTATATATATATATATGATATATATATATATATAATATATATATATTATATATATATTATATAATATATATATAGGAGAAGTGTTCCTAGGTGACGCCTTAGATAATCATCTAAGGACGGCGGTCTAAATACATGATTGAGCTATATTGTGGATGATCGCTCATGTTGAACTTGATTACGATATTCTAAACCCAAGCACACAAGTTTGAGAGGATGAACCGTCGTCGTTTTGACCCTTCATCTACTTCGTATCATTTAACGGTTTTGAAATGAATTAGAACTTTTCACATGGCTCGCGAGGGTCAAACGACGATGGGTTCACTCCAAACTTGGTGTGTTGGGGTTTTAGAATATGTAATGCAAGTTCAACGGAGTAGATCATCCACAATGTAGTCAATGCATGATGATTTTAGAGCCGCGTCCTTAGATTAATTATCTAAGGTGTCCCTTAGTGAATACTTTTCCGCTATATATATATACTATATATATATATAATTCTATATATATATTATATTATATATATATAATTTATATAATATAGAGAAAAATGGGTTATACTTGGTACCAAGTAATTTGTTACTTTGGTAGTGAAGTGTCTCATTCACGATCCACGTCATTCAATTGGGGGGAGCATATCACCCATGGGTGAATGTGGTCCCCTCAATTTGAATGGTGAAGGAATTTGCCTCCTACCAAGCATACCCATATTCCATTATTATATTATATATATATAATATATATATATATATATTATATATGAGATATGGGTATGCGTTGGTACCAAAGCACAAATTTTACAATGTGGCTTGGTAGTGAGGTGAACAATGCTCCTCCCACTCAATTCAACTGGGCGGACACATTCACGATGGGTTGGGGAGTGCATGATATAGTGCAACCATTTGAATGAGTGGAGGGATTTACGACCATCTCACTACCAAGCACTAACTCTTTTAATGCTTGGGTACCCCTAAGCATTACTTATTATCCTCTTCTCGTCTCTCTCTCTCTTCTATATATATTTAATATATATTATATATATACTATATAGTATATATATATATATATATATATATATGTGTGATGTGTGTGTGTGTGTGTGTTGTGTGTGTGTGTGTTTTTCTTTTGGTTGTTAGTGGCTTATAAATTGAAACAAGTTAGTCCTAAGGTCAACTTATTTTATCCGTTTTCATTTTATGACTAGAATAACCTTTGGCCTTGAGCTTGCCCCTTATGAATTAAAAAAAGAGGAAGGCACGTTATTTTTGTTACTTTTCAAGGGGGAAAGCTCATCTCATTTTGTTTTGCACTATCTAACTATGAGAGTGTTTGGATGTTTGAATATGAATAACGATAAATATGGATATTTGTTACTTTTCAAGGGTAAAACCCCGTAAATTTGAATATTTTATGATAAATAATAATAAATATATTATATAATGAAAAATAATATATTTTGATGTTTGAATATGATAAGAATTGATTTGAGATCAATTCAATGTATATTTGTGAAAATATGGGTGCAAATGCACAAAACATGCACAAAGGCCAAAAGAGTGAAAATCTGGGAATAAGGACCAGTTATGAGTTTTTAAGTTTTTCATACCGATGCAGTTAGAATTTGGAAAAGTGTAAAAGACCAAAGTTAGGTCTCTTCAACAGCTTTCCAACAAGTCTTAGATCACCTCATTCCGAGGTCGGATGAGAAAGTTACAGCCAAAATACAGAAGGTTATTTTCCTAGTCAGACTAGGTTTCCTGGTTCGGGTCAAACATGTTTGTTTCGGGTTTGCCTTTTTATGAAAATTCCTTTCTTTTATCATATCTAAGAACCCTAACAGCCACCAAACCCCCATAAACCCCATTTTGAATTCTTGGAGAAGATTGGAGGCTTTCAAGTTGGGTTTTTGTTGATTTTTGACTTTTGGAGTGGAGATCTCCTTCGACGTTGCTTCTAACAAGTTTTTCTACAACCCCAAGCGAGTATCATCTCTACTAATCCCCTTCCCAGTTTTTAAAATATTTTTAAAGAGTTTTTAATGAGTTTTATAGAGCCTAATCAATTAATTTGTGTATAAAAATTGGATCTTTTGTATATATGTATAAAGACTAGGTCTTTTCATGTTAAAGAGATTAAGCACGAATTTATAGAAGTGTTTTAAGATCTGAAAATAATTTAAAATATTGTTTATCTGAATTTAGATGTCTTATTCTTCGTTTTAAAGTTTCGTGCATGATTGAAGGTTTACATATGATTTCTTGTGCAAATAATCATGCTTGTTATGTTCTGCTGAAAATCTGCTGCACATATATACTATTGAACTAGAAATTTAAAATAACAAATGAAATCCAAATTGAACCAAACTAATGCCAATTGAAAGATACTTGAATTTAGTTTTCAAAACAGAAAACCATACCTAAAGATAGTTTTCCTAGAGAAAGATATGCTCAATTTACTGATGATATATTCTGTAGAAAATCTGCTGCACATATAAAATGTTTAACTGGAAATTAGAAATATCATATGAACTCCAAACTGAACCAAATCAGTGTCAAATGATAGCTATGTGAGTATAGTTTCCAAAACGAAAAACTATTCTTAAAAAGAGTTTGTCCAAAGAAAGATATTATCAATTTACTAATGATATATTCTGCAGAAAACTGCAGATGTGCTGATTTGAAATAAATTGATGTATTACGTAAAAGTTTCTTGAGTTTCGCTCTTGTTTGTTATTTTTGAGAGAGTTTCTCGATCTTGTACTATTATATTATAATGATTAAGAGTTGTTTAATACCTGGGATGATGGTGGACTTCAGATGTGGACACGCACACCAAGATTTGTGCATGTATGCTATATTGTGTTAGATTGACACACTTTCGACATGAGTTAAATTGATAAACACATATGAATAATGATGTTTTATACGTATCCGGAAATAGGGAGATGAAACATATTTGCCGTAGAACGATTGAGTGAGAGTATTATAATAGTATCGTTATTACATGTATTCGGAATAGGAAAATAATAAACCCTATTATCGCAGAACGATTGAGTAAGAGTATTACAACAGTATCATTATTATATGTATCCGGAAAAGGAAAATAATAAACCCTATTGCCGCAGAACGATTGAGTAACGAGCATTACAAAAGTATCGCTATAGTACAAATAAACCCTATTGCCGCAGAACGATTGAGTAACGAGCATTACAAAAGTATCGCTATAGTACAAGATGATACACACATAGATAATTGATCAGTTGTAAGTTTTACTTCCATGATAGATTGCCCGCGAGTAGGGTATTTCCTTTGAGATTTTAGTACACCCGTTATGAACGACAGATATATTTGTTTTAGCAATTGTTAATATCCTCTTATATTAGAGCAGGTCACTCAGACGTAATTCGAGATGAGATGATTATTCTTTATGTTGAAGATTGGAGTATTTATCATTGATTATTTGTTTCATAGACATAGAGAGTTATATGAATGATTTGATATATGTATGTACTGACTCTATTTTCTTATATACTCCTACCCCTTCCCCTGGGAGAGGTAGTGATGATCTCGCTAGCGCTTTGACGCTCGTTGTTTTCCCCCCTTTCAGGTAGCGAGTTTGGCGCACGGAGAGTCGCAGGTTGATGGGACTTCTTAGTTGTCCATTTAGTTACTTATCATATTTTTGTAGTTATTGTAGAACTCCACATGTAGTTGATTATTTTCAGAATCTAGATTGGTATTTTGTTTCATGGAGTTGAGAGCTATTATGAGACTTTGTTTATGTGACTCATTGTATTTGAGATTCAGTTCAGA